ATATCCTAGACAACCCCCCCCCCCAATCCAAAACTAGAAAAAAAAAAAAACCTTTAAGTGCAGGATTTTCTTTAAACCTGAAGTCTACATTGAGTAAAGGATAACTATCCTGAATGCCTTTTTCCCCTCAAATAGCCTAAAACCCATGCCTGCACCTTGCCATAATCTTGACATCTAGCAGCCAAAGTCTCATACCACTGGCTACTTCCACAAAATCTATCCCCATGAACCTCTATAGGGCAATTTCAAAGTGCCTCCCGTATTGGGAGATGGCCTCATAAAAGTCTACAAGGATTGACTGTGCAGGCACAGCAAGTCAAAGGAGATTTCATGTGTCATTTTATCCATTTTAAAAACATATAAACTTTATATTGGAAGGACAAAAATGCACTGCGATCTCAAATCATACAATATAAATGGATAATATGTGGATCTTTATTTTATAGGTAATGCACCAAGTAAACTGAGGTACAGCTCCGGCCAGCCAGCAGCAGCTCTCCGTCAACCAATTAAAACAGGTTTAAGCACAAGTTCCCTCCTGAACTCAAAGCAGCCAATAAAATCATCTGGTTACAATAGTACAAGCAGTCTTCGTAAAATGCAATCTTCACCTGGCTTAATTCCAGCCATCCCTGGTGCTGTTTCTAGAACTGGAAACAATCCACCCACCATGAAGCACTCGGGTGGAAAAGCTCAGTCCCCTGCAGGGAACGCAACTCCCAAAAGCAAGATGATGCAACCATCTAGAAGGCAAGTGTCCTTTGTGTCTTTTATTTTATTTTTCTGCAGCTGTGTTTAGTGTCATACCAAATGTAAATCTTTGCCCTTGTTTGTGATTAAACGGGTTTGCTTTTTAACCCGGTACCACCAGCGGCATTCTTCTTTTACTTTGCTCCCCTGCAGTTCCGCTCAACTTCTGGGAGTCAAGAAAGTGCCTGTTGTGTCTGAGTGTGTGAAATCTGGTGCTTGGTGATTTTCTGGGGCTGTCACGTGCGGGCAAAGAGATACCGTATATACTCGAGTATAAGCCGTCCCGAATATAAGCCGATGTAACTGTGAAAGCTTTTATAGGAGATCAAACTTGCGCTTGGCAGTGAAGTGAAATTATGCAGGAGCAAAAAGACAAGAATATGCTGCTGGGGATGGTGGGCCTTAAATTGAGGCTAGGTTCAGTGTATCCCTAAGTATTGAGAAATTCCCCTTAGACCCATGTGGGCCTGACATCTGATACTGGAGATATGTGGAACCTGAGAGTTACCGATAAGAGTATTTGGTTGAGTACTCATACTCTCCCAAATGCTCCGATACAGGAACTGACTGCCAGTGCCATAGGAGTTTTTTTTCCTCTGACTGGCAGTGCCATAGGGCAACATGGAGCCAGCTTCCTGGGCAATCAGGAAGCCGGCTCCATACTGATTGGCTGGGAAGTCTGCTTGCTGGCCAATCAGCCGGATGGTGGGGTCATTATTTGCCGCTCGGCTTCCTGATTGGCCGTGAAACCTGCTTCCCAACCAATCACAATTAAGCCGGCCAAATATGGAGCAGACTTGCCGGGCGGCATGTCATTACTCACTGCTTGGCTTCCCGATTGCCCGGGAAGCCGGCTCCATGCCTACTGGCATCGGTACTCTGTATCGGCGAGTACCGAAAGAAAAATATCGATACTCACTACTGAAAAACCGGTATCAGTGCATCCCTACTGACCACTAATTCTCATATCTGTCTTTTTATCGATACACAGTTGAAAGAAATGTAGAGTTTAAATAAATGTGAGAACCATATTACCTGCCAGAAGCTTTGTAACTAAATCTACGTTTAGCTTGGAAGTGGGGGACGAAACTAAAAACGTCATTTCTTGTTTACATTGAGTGTTACTCAGACATCTATAAACCCGGGCAATTCAACTGCATAAGTAAATGTCAGTGAAAACCATGTGTCAAAGTGATCAGTAGATAGAGGTGTGTATGAGCAGGTAATAGTCTATGGAAATCTTGGCTTTTCCTGTAAAAACAATTACCTTTGCTTTGCCCCAATCCTCTTCCAAAGTTTCCCAATTCCTCCCTCAATGTAACGGGTAGCCTCAATCTTCTTCTATAAGAACACTCACAAGAGGAGTGGCCAAGGTCATCTTCCAGTGCAGTGTTGGTTTGCATATAACTTTATCAGTCTGTGTTGTGTTGCTTGATCAGCGGATCATGTTGCAAGTTCTGACTTTTTACTATTTAATTGCTGGCAGGTTTGAAGCCAGTAGCAAGGTGTGGGTGAAGGTATGGCCGCCATCAATTTTAGGGAATCAAAGTTGGCATTTGCGTATCAGAGCATTTCAGGTTTCGAGGGTTGCTGGCGCCCTCGGAGATGCATTGGCTAGTAAATGCAGGCGACGGAGAGTGCTTGCTTCATTCTGAATCTGGAATGGTGTACCAGCCTTCCTCGCATCCTGAAAACCAATTATTTCATGGGTTGCTCCAATAAATGAACATTATCTTGTTTTTCTGTTATTATAGATCTCTTTCCTCAAAGTCAAACACACTGGGAAATGACGACTCCTGGAAAGAAGGATGTTATTAAATCTCCCCAAAGATGAGTTGCTTTTCCCTAATCTGTCCAGCGGGCTGGACTTCAACAATGTTTCAGAGGAAAGAATAAAAGAAAAAAAAAAAATCTTGCTTGCCATATTGGAAGAAGCACCCCGTGTCTTTGATATAGTTTACCTTTTTTCACAACAGAACTCCAAAATGAAAATGTTTTGTGTTGTCGTAGCAAAGACATCTGTTTGCACCAAAAACACTTGAGCCATCGGTTAAAGAGGGAGAAAACGTGTAGATTTGTGTCTCCACAGACTTTTTTTGCACTGTTAGATTTAAAGTGTACCAGGTGATATCTATTGCAGGTATCCATTTTGTATGTAGAAACAATAGTAACTCTGGTGGAACTACTGCGGGAGAGGTAGGTGTAACCAGTCCCACTGGGGGATGTAGCCATTTCTGGGCCCACTTCCAGGCTACGAGGGACGGATAACTACCCCCTGTGCAAGCAGTAGGAAGTTGGGTGGAGTTTGCATGGTGTGTTACCCTGGGTGTACAGGTTTCCTTTGATCCCTATTGTGCGAGAGGTCAGGTTTCCAATGATCCTTGTTGTGCCCTGCAGACTTTGAAATACACATAGACCACTCACTGACTTTTTATTAGATCCGGATGGGATGACTCTGCACAATGCTTTGCCCACAATGGCAGACTTTGTCCTGTTGCCTAAAAGTGACCAGTTTTGACATATGTGACTGGTGCCTAAGGAGCCACTGCCTTTTGTACCTCAGGGATATCACTAGTATGTACTCTGGCCCTCTTTTATGTGACAGTCCTTTTCTGAGTTGTCAATTTACTTTGTGTTATAGCTCGTGGAAACCATCCTCCTTTGTACTTGTCTAACTTGGGCAAAAGAGTTCTGTTGGTTGTAATGGGTTAGTGCACTGAAAATGACAATATGCATGTTGTTGTGGAAGCACTGGCTGCAGTCTTGGACACCGTTCTTGTATAGTCACAGGCTATGTAAACAAAAAGGATATGAATGGGATGATACAATGATGCTTTTTTATGATAAGTGGTAAATCAGAGTTGATGACGTGGTTGGTCAAAACCAAAGTCCTCCTTTTAGGGTCCGTTTAAATTAGCTAGGGCGCGTTATGCCTTGTGTAACATGCCCCTGCTGACATTTCATTCAAACTTATGCCCTGCAGTGCTTTGCAGACATTCTTCATTTGTATGCTGCATACACCAACTCGCATGTATAGTGTGAACAAGGTACAATTGTTTTCTGTGTGCCCTTGTGTTGATCAATGCAGATCAACACTGTTAAATGCACATGGTGGTAAGGAGCCCTTAAAGTATAGGATTGCCTTCAGTCGTATGAAACCCATCGTGGCATTCCATCCCGTTTCTTAGCTCATGGATCTGCTATACATTCCCAGCGCCCAGCAATGGAAGTCCATGTCTAGCAGACCTCTCCAATTTTCTGCTGTGCTGGTTACCCCTGGGCAAAAACTGTGCAATGGTGTTGCATTTTGTGGCCCTCTATCCCTCGTGTTTATTGAATACCCAACTAAAACCAGTGGCTTCTTATGTCGTTTTAAAATGTATATTGAGAGTAGCAAGTCACTGCTGATCTTATTCTGATGACGCTAGTAGCTTGCCTGTCTTCAAAATGGAGTCTCTGACCAGAACATGCATGCCGATTTTGAGATCTCTTGGTCTACATACATGTTCCTGCTCAGTACAGGCAGTCCCCGGGTTACGAACAAGATGGGGACTGTAGGTTTGTTAAGTTGAATTTGTATGTTATTGAAACAGGCAAATTCGTTTTTTTGTTTTAGATAGCATATGGAAGGGTTTACCCCCTGTAAAGTTTGTTTTGCTGTGTGTGCCCTTGTTCAGAAGATTTCACCTCACTTTCTGTCCCTGTGACAATTGGATTGTCGTGAAACAAGGATTGATGATAAAGCTTCAATGGGGACACCTTTTTCCCATGATCACTCTTACAGGAGTGAATTCCCCTTCCTAGGGGTAGATGTCCTTTCACTTCTTGTTGTCTTAAGGACAGGAAGTGAGATTAAATCTTTCTAGAGGATACAGACAGCAGTAAAATGCTCACAGTGACCCAGAAGAAGAGGTGGGCACCCCTCGTCTACACCTCTAACAAGAGCCAATTTCCTGTAATGTACGTACAGTACTACGAACCAGACCCAAAAAGGTGGGCACTCAGCGGCAGCATTACAACTACCCCTGCTGTACAGTAATAGCCGTGGTATGTAACTCGGGGACTGGACTGCCTGTACTTGAAGATCTTAACTCTGTTTGACATCCAGAAAACGATCATTTTAAAGAGGTCAGTAATGGTTGCCTCCATCCTTCCTTCGCACAAGTATCTTTTAATGTATTGGTGTAAACAGGTCCTTAGTATTCAATGAATGCTTCAAGTGTGGGCAACCAAATTCTGCTCACCCTGCATTGTATAAAACACTGCCCAAACCACTCCAGAGCACAGGTATCCAATGAAACCTGATCGTATTTATATGTTAAATGGTTAATTTAGTGATTATTGGATCAGTGCACAAAATGGCCACACTGTCGCTTGCAGGCCGGATACACTTTAAGTCAGCTGATTATGTGAAATAAAATGTTAGAAATGGATATCTGTAATGTAGTTGGTCTTAAAGTTGTTGTTTTTTTTAATATATCGATCAGTTTTTTGTTACTTGATCTACTGAGTCCATTTTTTTCAGCCTTTGTTTTTCTACTTTCCAGCAGAGATTTTGTTCCTTTTATCTACAAGTTTTTAATGTCCTTGATGAATTCAGAAAAAGGTGTGAATATGTGTGTACATAATAGATCTATGGT